GAAAACAATTCTCTATCAAAAGAGTCTAACGAAAGGATACATTGTCATTTAAAAAACTTCATGTGTTATTCGTTGCTCATTTGTTTTCTGAAATAGAAACAATTAAATGCCTTATTATGGCAAACAAAATATTAAATAACTTTTGTATAAAATGTTTTATTATAAAGTTGATACTTACCAAGATATATAGTATATACTATATTCCATACATAATGGGCATCTGTATATTATATTATACTTTTCCTCCAATGACGTCACATTTCCTACCTCACCCCGTCAACGTCAATTTGTTCGAGTTGGATAACCTAAATATTAACCATCGACATAGATTATGTCTATGGTATTAACAAAATATTAACATTTTTGATTTTTATATCATCAATTTTAAAAAATCTTAAATTTTGAACCAAATTAATTAATAAATTTATTTTATAAAAAATTCTCTTTAAATTTTGTAACTAATATCAGATCAATGATTTACCGTGTTTTGACAGTTAATACGTCAAAAGATTGTCATTCCCGTAAAACATTAAAATCTTATCAAAATCNTGGTGCCATCTATTGGTTTCTTTAAATACTACTGTAACGCGACCATTGCGCCATCTACATCGATTCAGTTTATGTGAGAGAGAAAGTATCATACGAAGTTTTCATTAGTTGAACAAGGATAGATAGGAGTGCCAATTTATTAGCCGGAGTCCGGCCTCTGTATACTCTGTGATAAGACCTCAATGACTTGTGGTCTTGCGTTGTACACGTCTTTTCCGGACACCTGTATATCTAGTGCTCGGAATTAGAGATAGTTGACGATCTCGGATATCTAGATTGAATGCAGTTATTAGTTCAATTTTCTTAATATACAATTTTTAAATTTTTTTAAAAAATTTCTGGTCTAACGATAAGTGTACTAAAATTTTACGTTATCGTAAAGAGAAAACAATTCTCTATCAAAAGAGTCTAACGAAAGGATACATTGTCATTTAAAAAACTTCATGTGTTATTCGTTGCTCATTTGTTTTCTGAAATAGAAACAATTAAATGCCTTATTATGGCAAACAAAATATTAAATAACTTTTGTATAAAATGTTTTATTATAAAGTTGATACTTACCAAGATATATAGTATATACTATATTCCATACATAATGGGCATCTGTATATTATATTATACTTTTCCTCCAATGACGTCACATTTCCTACCTCACCCCGTCAACGTCAATTTGTTCGAGTTGGATAACCTAAATATTAACCATCGACATAGATTATGTCTATGGTATTAACAAAATATTAACATTTTTGATTTTTATATCATCAATTTTAAAAAATCTTAAATTTTAAACCAAATTAATTAATTAATAAATTTATTTTATAAAAAATTCTCTTTAAATTTTGTAACTAATATCAGATCAATGATTTACCGTGTTTTGACAGTTAATACGTCAAAAGATTGTCATTCCCGTAAAACATTAAAATCTTATCAAAATCACGCCGCGTTTTTAAGTAACACAACTAAAAACTAAAAAATTAATAAAGAATATTAAGATGTCATCACGCGTGTTGAGAAAATTACAAGGTGATAAAGAACTGACGGATGAAGTGTCCGATAATGAAGCGGAACTGCCTGTATCCGGCGGTGCAAGAAAGAAGTTAAATATCAACAGATACGACTTGGTAAGCGATAAAGATAATATTATTAAATAGTAGATTAGATTTAATCCGCAATAATCTTTTGAATTAGTTAAATCAACAATCTCATTCTGAGAGTGAAGTAAAAGAAGATGATAATGAAACCGAGGCTAATAAATCTTGTGAAGGAGATAATAATCACGAATCGGTGAAGAGGAAGAAGAAGAAAAAGAAGAAAAAAGGAAAAAATGTTAATGCTCAAAGGAGTAGTGAAGATAATGCTGAAGTGGATGAAGTTGAAAAATCAGTACGAGAGGTAAACAAACTTCTTGGAGAAAATTACGTTTCAAAGCCGATGGCTTCTATTTCGAAACAAGAAAGGAATATTCAGCTTAAAAAATGCATTTTAAGTATTCAACATAAACATTTAAATCCCAATAATGAATTAAAACGAATTTTTGGATCAAAAATAATACAAACTGAACAGTAAGTAATCATTAAAAACTAAAAATACGATTATTTTGTTTACTTATTTTTTTTTTTTTTGATTTAGTAAGCGAAAAAATCGTGGTACTGGTAGAGGTCATGTTAAAATGACTTGGCTTGTTTCCGGTAAGGATACTTGGCCCCAGGTTGGAAAAACCGGTCTTTCAATGATGAAACAAGACAACTCCCCAGAACATAAGTCAGGGTTACAGTATTTTACTTATGAACACAATCAGAGCTATAGACAGGTTCAAAATCGTTTTTTAGAAGCCGTTGAAAGTTTAAATCCTGATAATATCGTTGCAATAATAAACGAGCATCCCTATCATGTTGATACACTCATTCAATTATCAGATTTGTGTAGAATAGCTGAGGACCTTGCCATTGCAGCTGAGTTTATTGAAAGAGCTCTTTATTGTCTTGAATGCGCATTTCATCCATTGTTTAATATTGCTCAAGGTAATTGTAGATTGGATTATAGAAGACAAGTTAATAGGTTGGTTATTAATTTTGTATATTTAAGATTATTTTTATACAAGTTGTTTAATGTAACTGGTTTGTTAGAACTTTTTAGGTTTCACTATTTGTATAGTTTTGAAATTCTGGTTGTTCATTCGGAACTTTTGATCTAAAATATTTTCAAGATGGCTACCACTTCCGGTCAACCTTAAGTAGACCATAACTTCGTTATTTTAAATGGAATGCTATAGATTTTATAACAACTTATAATTGTACCGGGTGGGCCACTAAGAAAGGACGCCGACTATATCTCAGAAACTGTTGATCACATAGTTTTCAGACAAAAAAATTCTTCTACAAAGTGACCCATAGAAACCGCTGGAATTATTTTCAAGTTTGTAAAACTACCGCTAGGGGGCGTAATGCCAACGACAAAATTTAAAATGTATGTTTTTCGTAAAATTTTGATAATAAACTTCATTCGGCTATAACATTTTTAGAATCTTTAGATCATTTCTGACAACTTTCGTTACGCAATTTTTTTGCTTACTGCTTATATATGCTACCTTGAAGACCCGAAAATAATAGGTATTTTTAAAATTTTTTTGCAATCAGACGAAAGAAGTTTTCTAAAAACGGGTTGCAGGGTGTGAATAAGCCACTTTTCTAGTTTTAAATACATATTTTATTTATTAACAGTTATTAAAATTGCACCCGCTAGATGTCGGTAATGTTAGGCTTGGAAATCGTGCAGGGTCAAACTGTGCGCAGGATTTCTCCTAACGCGTAAGTCGAATAATTAAAAGTTGAATACGATTACTTTAGTAAACTCAAAAACTAGGGAACTACGTAGGATTTTTAAAAAATATTCATTTTTGACGAAATGGTGACGATTTTACAAGAAATGTCGTATTTATCGATAAAAAACGTACATAAAAATGCTTGTAAAACAGAGAATCTGAGACATATCGAAAAACGGCGTGTGCACAGACTTGAAAAATGTAGTTTCCAGAAAAACGCGTTTAAAGTTTTCGAATGTAAAAAATTGTATATTGTTTCTAGATACGTCTAATCAGCGATTCCTGCACCATACAACTGTGCTTCCTGAAACTTATTTTCATCTTCTGCAACTTTTCTGTCTGACAGTAGGCTTCTACGAGCTTCTTTAGCCTCAGCAGTCATGGAGCGCTCAGCGCGACCAATGCGATTTAAATCCGTTTCATGACAAAAGTCGAAGCACGATCTTCCAATTGTTAATTTGAGTGCTTGCATTTTTTCCATAATGCTTGTAAGACCGTCATTAAAATTGCAAGCAGCTATATCAGACCCAATGTCAACCACTTTCTTGTCACTATGAATAGTTTTTGGTGTGATAGACCATAACGCGGCGTTGTAACTTTCATTGCTGTTTTGCGTATGTTCCCCTAAACATCTTGTCAAAAGATCTTCTCTTGATAGTTCTTCGTACACAGGTTTCACTGCGTTGAAAACATCATTGCTTCGATTTCTGACAAAGTGTACGCTTTTTGCCAGGAACACCACAAGTCAGCACTAACTGGACAATTGTCATGCTTTGGAGTTTCATCTGTTGAAATTTTATGATACAAAGTAGCCCAGATCTCTTTTTTCATGTCCTTCACGGAATCGCAATTTCTGCGAATAGCCAATCCATAATGTAAGGAAAGTTCATCAATTAATTTTCCTGTTAATTTTCCTTTGCCTCCTAATCCGCGGGTGTTTCTTTTTAGATTTCGTAACCGTGTGCCCATTCGTTTCTGAACGTGATCGACGCATTCTTTTTTGGTTACTATTACACTGTCATAGAGCTGAGCGTCCATAATACCTTTGAAGGTTTTGCTATCTCCGTCTCCTACGTAAAAACAATACTTCAAATTATGTTTTTCTTCGGATCGTTGAAACATCTCTACTAATCACCAAAACGTAGTTACGTTTTAATTTATCCCTTTTTTTTTTGAATATCTCTAAGACTAAAACACGTACGATATTGCGGTTTTCACTGTATGACGTACTTTTTAACGCTCTTTTCATATACCTTGTCAAAAATATACGTTTCCATTTGAATTTTTCAAGAAAATTGTAAAAATAAATAGAACTGACAAATTACGCCACCTATCGTTTGACTTAGAAAGGAAATCGGCTAATTTTGGATGTCATCGAATACAAAAATTCCTCCTCTTTCCAACAAGACCAATTTTGATGTATTCGGATGAACAATTCCAAGGTTAGGGCTACTTTTATAATAGTAAATGTAACACCCCGTACCTCACTTATTTAAGCAGTAAGCAAAAAAATTGACTAACGAAAGTTGTCAGAAATTATCTAAAGATTCTAAAAGTGTTATAGCTGAATGAACACTTTGTATAAGAATTTTTTTGTCTGAAAACTATGCGATCAACAGTTTCTGAGATATAGCCGGCGTCCTTTCTTAGTGGCCCACCCGGTACGTTGCTAACTAGATGTTTGATTTTAATTATAAATAATTTTTTATGCACATTGCTATTCTCTCTATTTGTAAAGTAAATAACACATAACACGCCGCCTCAAAATGGGTTTCAATCGTAAACTGACGTGTTGACGTTACGGTAAACGTATATATGGTATTTATTAGGGGAATTACCGAACTATATTGCGATCACTCCGAGCTATAGATTTATAGCTCGATAATACCCCTACAAACACAAAAAAACGCAGAGTTCCAACAGGAATAGGAATCTCACAGATTACATCTGAGAATATTATTACACGTTTGATCGGGTAGAGTCTGTGAGGACGAAATATTATGTAGCCAAAAATTGTCCAAATTCCATAGCTTTCTAATAAAAAAACCTGCATTCCGTGCATGTTTTGATAAATTTCCCAATATGAGGGAAACTACAATAAATAGGTATAAGAATGTTTATAGATCATTTGTAGAGAATTAAATTCCCTTTCTGATAGGCTAAAAAAATATGGGGCGTTCCATTTAAAATTTTCGACTTTCTCATCATTGAATATGGAAAAACAGTAATTCAATTTTTGATCAGTCTGTATAAGATACTCTGATACAACAAATGCCAATCTATTTGACAGCATCTGAAGAGTAATCGTGCCAATTCACAGTGTTAGCAAGTTTAAAATTACCGGCCATAACATGATTTTACTAATTTTCTTTTCTAATATTTTGGTAGACGGAGATCGTTAGGTTATATCGTAATACTCGCTACTCCGCAGTAACCACTTTTTATTAACTTCAACTCTGGATAAAAATGACATGTAAAGTTAACACTTATTTTGCATATCAATTTCGAAAAACATTTGATTAATATTGAGAGACGATTGTAAACATATTAAAAGTTATACCCTTATGAAATTTTACTATAATTTTATACTGTATGTGTTGTTTATATAACACTGTAATAGCTTCTTGAATACTGGATTTATTTATATTTTTCCCAACACTGTTCATAAACAGATTTTATTTACAATGTTAAACTTTAATTTAAGCTACAAAAAAAGTCCTACAAGATCCCAGGTTGAAATTTGTTTTTTTATGTAATTTCAAGCCTATACTTCCCATTCTCAAAAAAATAAATTGCGCATATTTGCGCATTTTCAATAAAATGGGTAATATACAGGGTGGTGTCTACGGATATTCGACAGTGAATACTGAAAGTTAGTTTTGAAACTGTTAATCGTTTACAATTTTTCAGAATAACTATTTTTTATGAATTAATATTAATACTAACTGTATGATTAGATCTAAAACTAGAAGCTTTCGGGCTTAACCGTGCGTCTTTAAAAAAAGAGTCACGATTCGGATATCATGTAACCTTCTTCCCAAACAAGTCCGAAGCATTTTTTTAGTTAAAAAATACCTATCCAACACACAGCAATAAAAAAGAAAATCAATGACGCGTTAAAATGCCAAACCGGATGCCTATTTCACAAAAATTATTATGAAGAAATGAACACTACTGCATTTAAAAATTTTACAAACGACACAATTCTATTATACAATCAATTATACAGGGTGATTCATAAGTAATGGGCCAAACTGTAAATGTACGTTCAGGAGGCCAAAATAATAATATTTTCATTAACAATAATGGGTCTTA